CTCAGGGTGGGCATGATAGCGGTGATGAGACAAGTCAGATTCTGGATATATTAAGACAGTAGAATTAACAGAATTTCTATATAGATTAGATGTGGGATATGAGAGAAACAGAGAATGTGAGGATGATTCAGATGACCTGAACAAGTGGAAGGATAGAACTATCATCAAACCAAGCAAGATGGGCTATGAGTATAGCAGGTTTGGGTGTATAGGGGTAAAACCATGAGTTTGAACATATTAAGTGAGAAGTGTCCATTGGTCATCTAAGTTAAGAGTCGAAGTGAAAAGCTGAATATAAGATGTGAAGGTCAAGAGAGAGAGTTCTGGAATGAATATGTAGATTTGGGAGTAATTTACATGTGGAATATAATCAAAGCTATGAGGCTGGATGAGATACCAAGGAGTAGACAGAGAAGAAAAGAGAACCAGGGACTAATTTCTAGAACATTCCACACATAAAGGGTTGGGAAAAGAGGGAAAATTAGCAAAGGAGAGTGAAAACAGAGCAGTAGGTAGGTAGGAGTAAAACAAAGAGGGTATGGTGTCCTGGAAGCTAGATGAGAAAATTATATCAGTGAGGAAGGGGGCTCAAATGTGTCAAATGCTAATGGTTCGAGTTATGTAAAGACTGAAAACTGACCACTGGATGTAACAATTTGTACATCACTGGTGAACAAATGGCTAAAAAGCCTGATTTACATGGGATTAAGAGAGAATGGGAGTGGAGGATTTTATAACAGCAAGGATAGATAACCATTTTGAGGAGAACTGCTACAAAGAGAAAGAAAAATATGGGGTGGTAGCTTGTGAGAAAATGGATCAAGAGAAGTGAGATTTTCTTTTTTTAAATAATTAGAGAAATAAATCCATGCTTCTATGCTGAAAGGAATGATCCAATAATGAAAAAGTAATTATGTAGAAGATAGAGGGAAGAATTGTTGAATCAGTGTCCTTGAGTAGATGAGAGGGAGTAAGATCCTACTAACAGATAGAAAGATAGGCTTTAGGTAAGAACATGAATAGCTTATCTTTGGTAAGAGGCCAGTACAGATACTAACAGGTGGGCAGATGCAGTGGTGGAAACCTGTGGAGGTTCTCATTACAGTTTCTCAGTTCAGTAAGACATAAGGTCATCACCTGGGAGAAGGGGTAGGAGGTTTAAGGAAAAGAAAGAAGCTACAAAATAATAGTCTAGGAGAATATGGATGAACTGGGAAGGTATTATGCAGTATGATTGACAGTCAGCATTAAGGTCTCATTTGAGGTTTGTGGTCATGAATTTAACCCAATAAGCATGGTTGTGTATGTTTCTGCAGTCATGTGCAGCTGTAATGGATTCCAGCACTGAGTGAGTAGCTTCCTAAGAGTTGTGTTTAACCAGTGTTCCGGTTGCCGAGCAAGTACAGTGAAGCCAGAAAGGAGCAAGAGTGTGGAAGGTGTGGGCAAAGGACAGGTTACCAGATAGAGGAGAGGGAAGATATCCAGGGGTGAGGGATTGTGACAAGATGGCACAATCAACGAATTGGAGGTCCCAGTGGGTTTGAAGCTATGTATAAGTCAGGATACTAGCATTGAAATACAAAAAACAGGTCATAGAGTGAAAAGCATGTAATTGGTATCATGGGGCAGGGGGTGGTAATTAGCTTTTAATTTTTTTTTTTCAATTTTTAATTTTTAAATTTTTTTTTATTTTTTAGCTGAGCCATCCTGCCACCTGTTCGCAGCTCAGCGGCAGCTCAGCTTGGGCAGGGCATCGAACTGCTGTTGCTCAGAGCTGGTAATTAGCATTTAGAGTGACTAAAAAAGAGTGCCACGGGGTGAGAATAAGATCCATGGAGGAACTGAATTCAAGGAACTAAGAGGCTAGGGTGATGGATAGGTCACATATTTATGTACTGGGATCACCAAGATCTGATGCAAGAGGATTTTTAGAGTTACAATGAGCCAGTAGTTCCTACTTATGAAGAACAAGAAAGAAGGTCCTAGACAGACCTAGACAGAAGCAAAACCAGCAACACCGGGAAGTAATAATGATATAGGCTGCTGACATGGGATACGAATTCGATGGTTTTAAGAAGTGACAGAGAACAATCTGAAATTGGCAATGAGGACCTAGGAGACCTCCTACTTCACCTCTAGGTCAAGTGGGCCTTGAGAACTGGGAGAAAACACACCCCCACTTGGCGGGTGCTGCAGGAAAGGCAGGGGTCACAGGCAGAAATTACTCTTAAATTATGAGGATGAAGGGAAAGTTGAAGGAAAAAGTTGAGAAAGAATTCTGCTGATACTGGAGGTTAGAGAGGAGAGGATGAAAGGGACTGAGTAAGAATAGAAGTGAGACACGTGACAGATGGGGTTTCTGGTATGCCCTGATGTGAAATAATAGGACATCCACATATTGGTCTCCTTCCCCAGTTCCTGGTACACAGTTCCTAGAATCTTGTAATTTCCTAAGTAATAAATGCACCAGGAGCATCTTTTGTTCTAATATTTGGTCTTGGATACTGGCTCCTGACACAGAACTCGTAAATCCCTTGGAATTTCCTGGGTAATAAGAGTGCCTTTTGTTCTATTAAAGTGACTCTTGGTGGGCTCCTGGACAGCTTCAGGATGGGGGCTGGTCACCAGAAAGACAAAATGGGATTAGAAGCTTGGAACTTTCAGCCCCACCCCCCATGCTCTGGGAAAGAGGGAGGGGCTGGATTTAGTTAATAATGAATCATGTCTATATCATGAAGCCTCCATAAAATCCCAAAAGTACACAATTCAGAGAGCTTTCAAGTTGTTGGACATATCCACGTACCAGGAAGGTGGCACACACACCCCAACTCCACAGGAACAGAAATTCCTGTGCTCCAGTCCTTCCAGACTGCCCCTGATGTATCTCTTCATCTGGCTGTTATCTGTATCCTTCTTGATATTCTTTATTATATAATAAACTAGTAAACATAAAAGTAAGTGTTTCTGAGTTCTGTGAGCTATTCCAGAAAATGATCAGTCTAAGGAGAGATAGATCATGGGAACCTACAATTTGTGGCCAAGTTAGTAGAGGGTAACCTAGGGGCACACTACTTGCAATTGATATCTAAAGTGGGGCACAGTCTTTTGGGATGGAACTCTTAACCTGTGGGGTCTTAGCTAACTCTGGTTAGTGTCAGAATTGTATTGAATTGTAGGACACCCAGTTGGTGTTACAGAAAATTGTTTGGTGTTGGGAAAAAAAAATCTGCCCATCTGGTAGTATTAGTGTGGTAGTAGTGTGAGAGTAAAGGAGAAACGCAAGGTGGTGTTTGTTTGTTTTTTTCTTTCCTACACAAGCTGACAAAAACAGAAATAAAGGGCAGAATGAAATTAGTCCTGGTGAATTCAAAACAGTTAAGTGGAGGACAAAATGGGTGTGTGGGGCTCCCTGTTGTCTCCTAGAGACAGAGGAAAGGAGGTTTGAGGAAGCAGGATATTAGCAGCCTGTGAACCCAACGTCTTCCCTTTCAATGGAAGGGAGGATGCCCAGGGGAAGAAGGGTTTGGTTCCAGTGCATGAATCTAGCTTTGGCCCTGTTGAGAGAGGGGAGAGCTTACTCCGAGACTCAGCCTCAGCCTTGACACCTGTTGATGAAATTGAGACTTCCAGAAAAAACAGAAGTTATCTTTGACCCCCAGATTCTATCTCTAATAGATGAGAATAATGAAATGTATCCTTACAAAAACTTAGCCCAGGGCATGTCTTACAGTGGGGAGCCAAAGAACTCATTTGCACACTCTACCCTTTCTTTGCCCAGGCATGCAATCTTTGTTTCCCTCCAGTCCTCAAAGAACTGGTATAAAAGATAGTAATTTTATCCATAGGCCATTAGGACTCAGACAAACTATTAACTAGATATAAAGAATTTTGTACAAGGTTCCTCATGGAATAAAATCATGCCATATGTAAACCAATGAGACCAAGTTAGTCCCTTAGTAGATGCAAAACTTTCATCCCAGTAGATTACCTTCAGTAGTCATCTATCCACCCCCTCATCCATCTATCTATACTTCCAATTTCACTGAGCATCTGTGCTCCAGACACTGCAAAGCATTGGTAAGGAAACTAGTTATAGTCTACCAAGGAAGAGAAACATTAACCAAGGTATTATGTGTGATGAACATGATGAGATCAGAGTTTTCCAGAAGAATAATAACAAGGGGACCAAATGTTTAGCCAAGGATTATCTGGAGCCAAATTTTCAAATCCCAAAGGACTGATACCCTGTAGGCTTACTTCCTGAACTGTTCCATCAGGAGAAATGTGGTGGCCATAGCAGGGGAGCGGAGTAGCTACAATATCAGGGAAGCCTGACACCCCCAGCTTATTCTTACACGAGGTTATTGCCATTCACTATCAGGTATAGAATCACCCGCCAACCTGCGCTCTGAGAACCTAGTGTAAGGCTCACCACATAGTAGAATCGCAGTATCATTTAGCTGGATTGAATTGTGCCACAGCTTTTGCAGCAGTGGAATCACATTTTCTTTACCACTGAAGCCTAAGGAAGAACCACATAAACAGCTGCTCTTGTAGAAGCAGAAATGTGCAAACCGGAGAATGCCCTTGCTCTCTCCACTTTTGAGGTAGGTTTCTGCATTAAAGGAACAACGTTCAGGCTATGACCTCTGGGTCTGCCTCCAACTGTGTGATACTTTTGCTGAGTGAGAGAGTTTCCTTTTACGTAGTGAGGTCAGTAGTCATCTCACTTTTCAGATAAATAAAATCTACTTTAGATGCACAAAGTCAGAGAAAGTTTAACTTGCTCTTGGTTCACTTCATCTTATTAGCTGTTTGATGGCTCATTCTAAACTTCATCTCACAATTCTTGATAGACTCCTCCCAAATCATCCACTGGCTATTAAACCGTATTACTCACCTTGTCATACTTTACATAATATGTCACTCTATGCTGCCACCCCAAAACCAGGTTATAACATGGCATGTCTTTGTTATTAGAAAAAGAAAAATGTACTCACTGCTACTTGGTGGTAAAAATAATCCATTGATATTTCGAGGTTTGCTGTGATAAAAGATACAATTGATCTTCACACAACCAAGAGGTTGAGTTTCCCAGAAGCATGAAATACTGCAGTTTTGCTAGACAAAGCAGGTGGGGGAAATGTAACAATCAGTTGCCATAATCATAATAAATACCATGTACTACAACATAACACAATGTGACAAAAACTATTGCAATTACTGATTTAAGATGGTGTGTGTTTCCTGGCTTTCAGTGTTTCTAAGCTCTGCTATCTAAAACATGCAATGGATATTCCTGAAACATACTCCTGAATTTTTCTAAGATTTTAAATTGAGCAAAGTGAAAAATACCTAAAATTAAGTAGTGGAAAAAAGAATTATTTGTTCCCTACTGTGTTATAAGACTATAGTTCAATATTATTGAAGGGAGACCATTTTAACAAACATGCGTCTGATGCTGAGTAACTCTACCTGCATTTCCATGTGTCTAAATCTGCAAAATGGATCTAAACATTTTCCTTCTCGCCATAATGAGCACACAGTGTCACTGCCAAGGGCCTCTTCACAGTGTCGGAACCGGCACTGGGAACCCTAGAAGGAAAAGGGAAACAGTGTACACAACTCAGTAGGTCAATATTAGTTTCCAACAACAGTAGGTTGCTAATTAATTAAAGAAAATATAAGGAGATCAAATTAGAATCACAAAAAAACATGCTCAAGATATAAGGCCATAAGTCTAAAATTTAACCAATGAGTCTATTTTTAGTGAGAGACTGACAATATAATCTAGTTAAATAGTACAATATACCACAAGTCACTAATCAAATGCTATTTTTTGTTATCATTTCATCCATGTGGATCACTTAGCATAAATATAAGAGATCAGCGATACTCTTGATCATAGTCCAAGGACAGAACAACTTCTCTTTCTGAAGAAAACCAGATATATATTTTCTTTTAAATCACCAGTGATATTCTAATTGTGGAGATGATCTCTATTCTTCAATCTTTTTATTAAATAAATGTTTTCTTAGTCTATGCAGATACTGTTAAGTGTGTTTATATAGGGAAAGTGAATGAAGCTTAAACTTTAGATTATTATGGAATTTTAAGTAATTACCACATTATGTTACATTACATTAAATGTACTGGGGGTGCCCCCAAAATGTATACACATGGCTTGTATTCATCTTTTGTTATCGGTATATATTATTAGAATTTTAATACAGTTTTTTCCTTTCTTAAAATGTGTATACATTTTTTTTGGCGCCCTCTGTATATGCTTTATTCCCTTGTCTACAAAGATAAAACAATTGTGCCAATACATATACACACCGACATCTTTAGATACCAACAAAAGCAGGTATTAGATTATTTTAATTGGCTGCTATTACTTTTTTTATTCTTTTACATATAGATCCAAAGTTGGAAAAGCTGTAGGTCATTGTTTTTTGGGCAGAGAGGCAAGTAATATACAACAAAAATATTCCATTAAGTTCGTCCCTCTTTTGACACATGTTCCATGATTGTTTCTTATCTTTTACCACCCTTTTACTCCCATCTTCACTGTCTCAACCTTTTAAAAGTGGATCTATGCCTCTTGTAGTACTGGGTAATTCATAAGCGTCTAGAAAAAAACAGTTATTTGACTTCCTGGCTCCATTACTTGTCCATAGTCACAAAGTTAATATGTTATTCACCTTTTTTGTGCCTCAGTTTCCTCATCTGTAGCAGGGGAATAAAATGCCATCCTCACAGATTGTTGTAAAAATTATATGAGATACAGTACTGTGAATGCTATTATTATTTGTATTTATTCATTTAATTATTTATTGAGAACTTACTACCCATTAATCACCATGCTAAGTACTTGGGGATATAGCAGTGAAACAGACAAAACTCTCTGCTCACACAGAACAAAATTCTATTATTATATTTCATCCTAAGGGTTACTCATAAGGTAACAGGCAATAGAAGTGTATTTAATTCTTACAGTGAAATAGGTTGACTCCATTAAGGTTTCCTAGCAGAGATGAAACCCCTTAAATCAGACATATCACGTCTTTCACTGGGTTTATTCTGACATCAACATGAAGCCTCAGACATTGAGTGTTTACATTTATTTGGTTTCATTGCGATCCAGTAATCCTAATCTCTCAGAGTAAATATTTGTCACTTCATATTACAAATTTTAATTCATATCTGACTAATTTGTTTATTTCTTTCCTTTTTTCCATGAAATGTTTGCTGTTACTTTGACTTTTGACAGGGGAAAATTCAGTAATTGGGTTAATGAATTTCAAATAAGGAATTGATTTATTAACTAAGTTTGATAGTGGCCTGATTTATTTCAGTTTATATAACTGAAATCACATTAACCAAAACAGTGTGATGTATCATATAATGTCTCAGTATTAGGAATTTGATGTCTCAAAGAGCCAAAATACATACACAACTGTCACATGAAGATGAAAAAGCCAGAGGCCTGTAAATGGCATATATAAGCATAATTTCAAACAAATCATAATTTTAAATTATCCCAGATTTCCTCAGAGAAATTCAATACATCAACAATAAATGATCAGCTTTTACTTCAGATTTTAAATATGTAAAATATTTTACAGGAAAAGCTAAATTTTGATTCAGCAATGCAAATCGTTGCCATAGATTCCTTCATTCTATTAAAAAGCTTTAACATGTGAATACTGTAAATTGTATAATATTTACCTTTATGCATGTGGAATTAAAAAAGAAATAGCAGTCATTCCCAACTTCTGCCATTTTCAACTCTCTTGCTGATAATCCAATTTTTTTAATATAAAAATTGCAGGGATATAAATACTAGAACTATAAGTGTGTAAGGGGGAAAATAATTTCTTTTCCGCAGTCTTTCAGGCTATCAGTAGTATTCCTTTAAAACTGACCTCCTGTTGACAGTATATTACACAATAGATAATTCTTAAAGAAATTTAAATTAGAAGATACCTTCTCTAGCTTTGCAGAAATGCTGAAAGTGGTTGCTAGTAAGCACACAAACTCAACCTTCCAGAATTTTCCTGTTACCAAACCCATTGTTTGCTCATCACAAATGACCTCACATGTAACTGTAGGTTACCTTAGTGAGTACTGCACAGTATTTCTCTTCCTCAATTCTAGTATATTAACCAAAAATGGCTAGTAAAAATAAAATAGTATATTTTCTTTCAATATTCTGATTGAATATGGACCATAAACTAGTTCATAATTTCATAACTTACAAATATTAAGTATTTCACAAATAAGTGGCTATTTTCTATACCTTATTTCTATATATGGTTGGAAAACAAAACTAAAATTTTAAATAGGTGAGATGTATTATCTATATTCCAAGATAAAGTTTTTAAATATGTACTCACTGTTACCCACTGACATGGAAAAAAAATATCCAGATTGCAATATTTTAATAGGTACCTTAAAATAAACTGGACTACTTATTCATCTTGTAGCTATATTTCACTCATTTTTCATCCATCATAAAAGGAGGAAGAGCTTCTTCCTAAAGCAGAAAGGTTCCAGAGCGCTTGCAAATTTTGAGAATTTGTTGACAGCAAAGTGAAATACTCTGATTCCCAGAATGAGGCATTTCAATCAGCAGTTGAGGTCTTTTTTCATCTTAGCATCTTTACTAAAAGTACTAGAACCTAGAAGAAATTAATAAAAATATTCATAGTAGGTGCCTTAAAAGACGTCATGAGATGACAGATCACACTAGATCAAAATGGATTTTTAAATTGCAATGTACTCTTAATTGAAAACTTAAAAGATTGAGACATATGGATTCCCATTTTGTCTAAGTAAAATGGACTAACTTGGTATGAACTTTTGAATACAATGCTTTGGGGTAAAAATCTAGGGAACAAATAAGAAACTATTGTTTGCCTATAACTGTAAATAAGAGAATAATAAAAAAAAGTCGTGCAGTATTAAAAGTAAATGAAGAACTAGAGAATAAAGATTTGGCTCTCACTTGAATATATTAGCAAAGAGTTATGGAAAAATCTACCATCTGCCTTTTGCTTTGCCCTGCCTTCTAACTCTACAACAAAGTATCCGTCTTAAGCACATAGGATACTGGGAGAAACACCCCTAAGGATGATCTTTAAGTTGTCTCTGCCTCCAGATAAACTCCCTCTCCACCTATCAATTTTTAGCTGCATCGGACTATTTCCAAAAACTGTTACCAAGCACACTATTGTATGATTACATTAACACCATGATTACAGCCATTGTGAAAATACGTGTTTTACATTGGGGAAAGGCTGAAATGATGTTTTTACCTCTTGAAGTAAGATGTAAACAACTATATTCCATTAGGTACAGCAAAAGCAGGTCAAACTATAATGAGGATATATTTTTTTGTCATTGCAAAGAACAGTAAATAGATCTGTACACTTCAGTAGTCTTTAGAATGACTAGAGCCCTAATTGCTCTTTTTTTTTTTTACTCTTCTTTTTTTCCGCTTCCTTATTCACTTCTTTCCTGTTGTAAAATTCATTCTAGTCTGCCAGGGAAAGCTATGACCATACCGAGGAGGATTTTTACTCCCTGTAATGGAGTAATGGGAAATTAGCCTCTGCAGCTGGGGGTAGGCACACAAATTCTGTAAATATTTTGTGTTGGCCAAGGTCAACTCACATTAAGTGACTTTCATCTTAGGTGCATGCTACAGCACTAATACATCAGTCAGAGAAGAAAGTCTTTCTTCTAGTTTGTAATCCAATAACACCACTTTAAGTGCGGGGGCTCCTAGTTACTCCTTGATGGCTCTTCAGGCTGATGAAAATCTGAGAAAACTGCTGGCTGCTGCCCATCAGAGTGGGGGTCAGTTTATAGCTGTGAATTGGTCCTGTGGCTGTCTACTGACTTGGACTCTTGTTTCCACTGGATGCTTTGCTCCAGGCACTGATGAAACCAAAGCACCGGAAACAAACAGTGCTTCTTGAGGAATGATGAGAGGGACTGCTATGATTCAAAAAGCAAGTGGAATGTTTCAGGAGATCATCTTTTCTCAGAAATGACTGAATGTTGCACCTAGAAGATTCTGTGGCAGTTTGGGAAATGACAGTTGATAGCTGTGAGGGTTAATAAATTATTGTCCCTTGAGACTCATGAAACAAGCTGCTTTTTAGGATTCCTTTGGAGGAACAAAAAAAGTTGCTGATTCTTGACAATAAATGCTAAGGAGGTTTTGATCCCGAGATCTTGCAGCCAGCATCAGGTGTACCCCCCTTTTAAATTTTTTTGGCCATTTTGTGTTTTCCTATGAGAAAATCAAACATAGCAGAAGAGAAAGTAAATACTTTAAAATGGCAAATCTCTTCTTTCCCCCTCTCCTCTGAATCCAATAAAAAAACTAAACTGTTTTTTGGGATATTTTATTCTTTGGTAATTCTCTTATATGTAGATACTCCGAGGGAGACAAAGTTGTTTAATTTTCCAAGGGCAAAGTCAGCAAAATGCTGTACAGTATGGTACTTGCAGTTAAGACAGTCATAGAAATGAGACCTGGGCCTTGTCCAAGCACATAAAAAATAGTAGTTGAAACTCCCCTATTATTACTAGCTTCGATGAGCTAGAAAGGCTACTATTACTAAATATTTGATATTTATTTTATTCAGTCATTGACTCTCACCACTACTTGCCAATATTCTGTTGAGCAATAATCAAAGCTGTTTTTAGCTCTGTAGTTGATTGACTACAACTACTCAAGCCATTTGGACTCTGTTTGGAACTCATATTTAAGATAAATGAGATTTCTCTGAAAAAAAAATTGAGATTGAAATTTGGTTATTGCTATTCGTGTGGTTTTGGATTAGTTTAAGGCTAAATTTTGCGCTCAATAAAGATCAGAACTATTTCGACTATATTACGCTGCACAATAATGCATAATCCAAAAAGCAATTATTTTTGTCCCAGGCGTTTTAATTGCAGCATTTCCTAGCATTCTTCCTGGGATGTCAGTTTTCATTCGGCCAACTTCTACAGTGCTTGCCCCAGGAACTTCAATAAAGATAACAGGCAAGTAGGTTTCATTAGAATGGTGTTAAATCACCATTGAAACGATTCGTTACTTATAAATTGATAATACTTAATTTTCATAAATATCGTCGGTTACTACGTGTGGTGAAGCACACCCACCCAGAAACGGATTTGTTTTTTTATGGTCCTTGGAACCCGAGGGAACGCTCGCGGGAACGTACCTGGCAGTGTTTTGGCTCCAGCACTACAACTCCCAGAAGGCGCTGCGGCAAGGAGGCCGCTTCCGGGCGTACGTCCCCGCCCCACGCTCGGTATGTGGAACGTGGGCGCTGCCGCTGTGCCTGGGTGTGAGGTGTGTGTGGCTTGAGCGCGGCGGCCAATCGCTTTGTCCACCGGGATCGGGCACTGCTCTGAGGTGCGCTTCCTAATCGCACCATCGGGCCCACCATGAGGCGCCTGGGCTCGGTGCAGCGGAAAATGCCGTGTGTGTTTGTGACGGAGGTGAAAGAGGAGCCTTCCACCAAAAGGGAGCATCAGGTACTGAGGAGCACGGGTCCCGCCGGGGCAGCCGCGCGTGGGCTTCTCCCCGCGGGGCTGGCTGCGCGTGGGAGCCGCCCTGTAGGCCGGGAGCCTTTTGCAGGTTTCCTTGGGGAGAGCCAGGGTGGGAGTCTGCGCCCTGCGCTCCTGGCTCTCGTACCTTCGTTGCAAGGGAGGAAATCTGCAAGAGACTTTTCCTCATCAGGCGATTCAGACTTGCCCTCGCGTGGAAATTGGAAACCCACATCTTAATTCATACTCCTTTTTTCTCAGGTTACTACCTTTTGGGGAAGACCCCTTAAGTAATTACCACCGCAGTCCACGCTTTCTTTTCAAGAGTGTGGTGACCGCGTGGAGTTTTTAGAAGACTTGTTTCCTTGTTCTAAATTGGGAAGCGCCGCCGGCGTTGACAGCTAGTCTCATTCGGTCACTAAAGATCAGACCTCACACGTTGTCGCCAGGAATGACCTACTGCATTCTAATTTTGGGGTTCCCGTCTCAAGGTTTTCTGTTCTCTCAGCAGCGTGTTTTACACCCAGAGGGACCTGAGCAAATCCTGGCGAATGGTTAGCAACCTGTACCAGGCTAGTGCTTGGAGATGGCGCAGAGACCTTGATAGCAGAATCCCCAGCCGTCGGTTGAGGGCTTCCAACGTCTCCTACAAAATCACATGCACCTTTGACATCGACCTCCATCCAGCCCGCTCCTTATCCTCCAGGCTGGAAGGCCGCTCTGCCATCTCGAGTCCCAGTTTCCAGGGCCAGACACGTGGTAGACATTGGATAAATATCTGTTGAGCTAAAGAAGGAACCCTGGAGTCCTGTCATCCCCTGTGTTCCGATTGCTTGATGCTTTTGACCTTCCAGCATCTCGCTCTTCCCTCCTTTCTACTGTCATCACTGCTGTTCCGGTTCTTAATATTTTATGCCCTGCTTATTGTGCGACCTGATTGCTCTTTCTTGCCACCAGAAAGATCATTATGATGTTCTTTCCTAGTCCAAACCCCGCAGTTACCACGACAGTAATTGTCGAGGTTTTATTTTTTTAAGCGCTGACAAACCTAATAGATGTGAAACTTTGTCATTGCCGTAGCTGTGATTCTCAACTTTTGTATGCTGGTTGGGGTATAATTTGTAACAGTACCTCCCACCAGGAAAAAGACACCCCTTCTCTTGTTGCTCTGCAGTTAGGAATAGCTTATACTGTTGCTTATAGCATAGCTTGTAATTCTGTAACTATTGGGTTGTCGGAAAAGTCATGCCGTATTTTTTTCTGTTTTTCGTTGCAAAAATGGGTCATGACTTTGCCGACATCCCAATATAATTCAAGGTGTCCTGTTCATCAGGCCCAATCTACTCTGTAACCGAACTTCCGGTGAATCCTCTGTTCTAACAAAATTTTTTTTTTTTAAGATTTTTATTGGGGAATTGGATGGGAACAGTGCTGGGGAATTGGGGGAAGGGGAACAGACAAGTTGCTGTCCCTTTTGTTCTTCAGTCTAGTTGTGGAGGACGTTGCTTCACTGGCCCAAGTTGGCACCATCATTGCGCTCTTCCCGGGTGAGGCAGATCAGTCACCGGCTTCTGGACGGCCGCTCACTGCGGCTGCTGGCCGCTCACCCTGGCTGCTGGCTACACACAGTAGCCCATGGCAGCCCACTGCAGAAGGGGCTGCAGCTTACGCCATCGCCGGCGACTCACGGCAGCCCAGCTCCAGGTTGAGCTGTTGTTCAGCATCTTAGCTGTAGAGGGCAGTGTCACTGGCCCTCATGTGGGATCCCAACCGGGGCCCTCTGGCATCCCAAGCTAGTTCTTAACCAACGTGCCACTCGGCCGGCCCTAGCAAAGTCTTTTTAATCCTCTTAGCACACCAGGTACAATCCTGTCTCTGTATTTTTCCTTATGGTATGAACGCTGCCTGGATCACCTCCAGAATTTTTAATTTTTTGAATCAGATCTTCTCTATGACATCTTTGTTATCCCAGCGATTTTGCCTACCCAGAAACTGTAGAGGCCCACTCTAGTGTCTGTTAGTTTTTATGCACACATGCCTTATTTTTCCAGTCATAGTTTAAAGTCTCTAATGGCTGGTGGAGAAGATGAGCTTCGTGTACCCTTTTATATCTCACCTTGTCCTTTGGGCATGTCCATAGCTGAGGGTGGTAGATAACTTATTCTTCTGGAAGGGATATTTCTACCCATTAGGAGCTCCATGAGCAGAGTGGTCTTCTCCCTAGAATCTTTGATAAATTTAAACACACACACACACTATTGGGCCAAACCTTCTTAGTTCTACTGCCACAAGTTAAATTGATATCCTCTGATACTGATGTCATAAGTTAGTGATAAATCCCCTAGTCATTCAGTTTTATCTTAAAAGTACTGAGTCAGTACCAGAATGGGGCTACTGTCTTGAATTTACTCAATTCTACTTCCACTTACAGTCTTAGCCTCTACATACCAGTATAATGTTTATATAATGCAGTGTTTTTTCACATTATGTAAGATGAATGCTAACATCAAATAATTTAGACTATGAGACAGTGGCATAAGCCTTACTCAAAACCGGAAATACAGATGAAAAGTTGGTAGGAATTGTAGAAACAGTCTTTTCCTCCATTCTTGATCCTCTTTTGGCTTGTCTTCCTGTCAGGAGAAAAACCATAAATTAAATATGCAAACAGTTTGCTGCTAATGAAGCTGAAAGGGTCCCTGTTTGTTTTTCTCCTTAGCACTTATGACACCTCACATTGTATTACACATTTTGTTACTGTATATTTCCTAGGGCTCGAGGGCAATGCTTAACCCATAGGAGGCATGTAGCAAATAATTGTCAAGTAAAGGACTGAATACACTGAACACCTATGTTAGGGATGCATCACTGCATAGGAAAGTTCCTGGTGTGAAGCTCATTATGGTGGATAAAGAAACGTGAATAATTAAACAACTGTGTGGAAAAACAGGTATTGCTGTGATAGCATAGAAAGGAGGAGGTGATTCCTGAGAACTTCACGGACAAAATATTTTTAAATTGTCTTGTAGGATAAACAGGAGATTGCCCCTTAGAGCTAGTAAAGTTAAAACATTTCAGGTGAGAGTGTGTGTGAAGGGATAGATGCTCTCTGTGTTAAACCAGTTTTCTCTCTCTCTTTTTTAAGCCATTTAAAGTTTTGGCAACTGAAACTGTAAGTCACAAGGCATTAGATGCAGATATACACAGTGCAATTCCAACAGAAAAAGTGGATGGAACATGTTGTTATGTTACTACCTACAAAGGTAAAATAAAACTATACAAGCATTTATTTTTCTTAATCACCTTACAAACTATATATATCTGAAAATGGGGCATTTGCTCTTCATAAATCCTTGGAAACGTAAGTATAAGTGCAAAGTAATAAAATTAAAATTGTCATCTATTGTATTGGTGTATCTTTTTCTTGGGGGAGGAAAGGAAGGTAATTAATATGTACTCAATACCCATTTAAAGGCCATACAGTATGATAATTATTTTATATGTGTTATCTCTGATTTGCACACTAAGGTCTCTATTTCACAGATGTAGAGTGTGAGGCTCAGAGAACTTAAGTAATTTGTCTAAGACCATATAATTAATGAATGGCTGAACTGGTGATAGGATCTGGGTTTGTTTGACTCTAAAGTTGATCCCAGTGCTGATTCCACTGTTTTTTATTACTATTAACAATCTCTCTGATTTGTTTTAATGACTTTAAAAGAGGTAAAAATTGAAATAGAAATTGTCAACTGTGTTAAGGAGAAAAATGCACTGAAAAAGGAGAAATATTCTTTGTGATTTCTTTTGGATGGTGAAATTACCTTTCAATTCCAGCAAGAGAACTAGAACAGTTAAATGCAAATTAGACACATTTCTGGTATCAGGTATTATCTTTGGAAATGCAGTTTTTCATTTTTAATTGTGATGAAATACACGTAATATAAAATTTACCATCTTAATCATTTTGAAGTGTACAGTTCCGGGGTGTGTATAGTTCAGTTCACCTTGTGCTGCTATCTCACCCTCCATCACCAGAGCTCTTTCTTTTTTTTTTTTAGCTGAGCCATCCCGCCACCTGTTGGCAGCTCACGGCTGCTCAGCTCGGGCTGACTCGAACCGCTGTTGCTCAGAGCTCAAACCAGAGCTCTTTCTATCTTGCAAAACAAACTATGTACCCATTAAACAACTCGGCATTCCCCTTCCCTCCGGTCCTCGGCAGCCACCATGCTCCTTTGTCTATACGATTTTGACTACTTCAGGTACCTCATTTAAGTGGAATCACACAGGATTTGTCTGTTTGTGACTGGCTAATTTCACTAAGCATGATGTCCTGAAAGTTCATCCATGTTGTAGTAAGTCAGAATTTCCTTCCTTTTTAAAGTTGAATTTTGTTTATCCATTCGTCTACTTATGCACAGTTGGGCTGCTCCTACCTTTTGGCTGTTGTAAATAATACTATGAACATGGTGTAAAAAATAACTCTTTGAGACCCTGCTTCTAGTTATTTTGGGTATATACCCAGAAGTGGAATTGCTGGGTCATATGTTCTGTTTTTAATTTTTTGAGAACTTCCAAATAGACGTTGCACCATTTACATTCCCACCAACAGTGCACAGGGTTCCGATTTCTCCACATCCTCACAATACTTGTTATTTTCTGTATTTTTTATCATAGTAGCCATCTTAATGGATGTGAGTGAAATGAATTTTTTGTTTGCTAGTAAAAGGAACCTAAGGTCCATTTAACCAGAAATGACAATATAATTTTAATCTGGTTCTCCTATATTGATATTAAGAAACTTCAGTGTCCATCATTGTGTGTGATTATGTATAATGATTGCAGTTGAAGAAGAAGTTGGATTGCTAAAGAAAAGTTAGAAGACCCAAAATGACAATGCTTACAAATCCACCGTTTATTACATGTAAAGGGATACATAACATAGCACCAATAGTAAAAATAAGGATGCACATCACACCCAAAGACTGTTTCACAGCAAAGGGTCAGGAGAGGCCAAGTGAAAGCTCCTGTGTCCCCCCCGCCCCCCCCACCGATCCGAAAGTCCAGGCCCTGGCAGGACACACTTTCTCAAGTCAGGAATCGCTGATGTGTGCAGGGAATGCCTCAGAACCAGGGAACACAACATGGAGTCTCAGCTGGGGGGTTTTTGTTTTGTTGGTCACCAAGGCATCTTCCTGCTAAGTAACCAGCGCCAACAGCAGAGCCCTCCAGGAGTCTCACTGAGTGGTCTCACTGTCACTAATAGAGAATGCCTGTCACACTGCCCTGAAACCTCATGTTACTTAATGAGGGTTTCACGTCTTGACCAGGGGTCAGAGCCGTGCAGAACAGCTCAGCCAAAGTCCAGATCGTCAAGGAATGAACCTTCATGTTTCAGGGAAGGTGTGAATACAATTATGTGGTTATATTTCCATGTAGTAGAGGTAGCTTCAGTTTCTCACAAATGCAAGTTATAATAAAATAGGGCTTGTGATGTCCTTATGAGAGGGTCACATATTTGTTTAACCAAAGATGTAAGTCTTACATCAGGTACTGCTAGGTAGGATGTTTCTGTTAGACTGCATATTTCACTTTGTCTTCGAGGGTTGCTTCTCTTGGAGAAGATGACCCTACTGTTTATTGAAAAATTTTATTCTGAAAGTTTTTCAAGGTAAGTTTTGTTTGCCTTCTAATACTTTTCCTTTAATTATTTTTTTAGGTAGGCCATATCTTTGGGCTCGGCTAGATAGAAAACCTAACAAACTAGCTGAGAAAAGATTTAAAAATTTTCTACATTCAAAACAAAACTCCAAAGGTTAGTGGGTCTTTTTAAAAAAGCTTTTAATGATTTAAATAGCTGAAATTTGTGACATTTCTTGCTGTAGAGTTTCTGTACATTATATCCTTTTGTATAATTTAAGCACTTTGGAAAAAGAAGAAAATTAGAATTGAATACCTTTATATGTAAAAGAATATTCTTGAAAAATATTTTTAAATGTTTCCCTAACATTTCTGTGTCTCTTCATTATAGTATATCAATTTTTTCAATACATACAAATTACATATATTATAATGAGCAACACATTTTGATTGTCTGCCTAAGTGACAAATGTTTAATTTTATAGATCAGTCACAAATCTCGAGATTATTAATATTTTAAATTACATTAAAATACCTCTAAATATTATATAAGTAGATACATACACTCATTGCATATCTACTCATACATATATATAATTTTTATATATTTGTGTTCATAGTGCATTAAAAATTCATCATAAATCTATACATACTGGAACATTGGCTTCTTTAGTTAGACTGTTATCCCCTATTTACAAATGTTGGTATGTCCAAATTTTAAAATTTTAAGTGTTAGTACCCTAACGCTGAGAAGTATAGTCATATTATAGCGATAATGGAGAATAATTATATGCTACCTAATATGCGGTTTATTAGTTATTCCCACTTTGAATTTGTTTAGGATTATATATTTTTTAAATTATCGCCACATACAAGATTATCTCTTTTAGAATTTTTTTGGAATGTTGAGGAGGATTTCAAACCTGTTCCAGAGTGCTGGATACCAGCGAAGGAAATAGAACAATTAAATGGAAATCCGATGCCTGATGAAAATGGACACATTCCTGGTATCATGAAATCTCTTCTAAAATGAAGTTTTGTGTTTACTGGTATAAAGAACAAAAGATCCATTTGATCAGAAATTACAGAATTTAATTTTAATCTGGTGCTTCTCAGTATTTATCTGTTTAGCACACAATTCCTCAGTATCTGTGAAGTTTAATAATTTGTACCAAAGATATTTTGTATCAAGAATATCCTTTCAGTTTATAATCTTTTCTAAGATGGACAGCTGACTACCTACAGTCTGTCAAAAATTAGTAAAGCGTTGGGTGGGAATAGTTTTAAAGATGTTATCAGAATAGATAATATGATTGACATTGTCTGAAGTGAGATATTGAGCCTTTGTATTTTAGATTGGCACTAACAATGTGTATATTTTTTGCAAAGATCCTAGAAGACTGTTTCAATAGAGGGAGGTGAAAATAGGTGTCTCACAAGTAGTTTTACTGGGGGGTGGGAAAAATTTTGCAAAAGTGTGCTGAGTAAAAGGGTACCCCAGATTAAGGTTCAGTTTAACAGACTTGTCTTGAGTCCCTAGAATGTGCAAAGTACTCTTAGGTTCTAGTAATACAAACATGAAGATCAGAGCCCTTATCCTCAGTGATCTTGTAGACATGAGGGTAAATCCACCAATAATAGTTTAAGAATGAAAAGAGTATGCAGGTACATTTGGAGTGAAGAGGAAGAATTCAGGTTCAACCTGTGACAGAGGCTTCTAAAGGGCATGGACATCTGTAGTGAAGCTTAAGAACAGGAAGTTAGCTGGCAGGGAAGAGGAAGGGTCAGCTTAGGCAAGTTCTCACAGATCATGAAGTCCTTTGGAAATTTTATTTAACACTTTATTCTGGCTGGAATGTTTAGGGTGTATGACATTTGAGAAGGTTATAAAAATTGAGGCTGTGGAATACTGTCATCTTAAAGGGTTTGTATTGTGTTTAAAGGGATTCGAGGTTTATCCTAAAGATGATTATTAAGCCAGGGGTACAGCAAAACTAAATTTAAAATTTTAAAATAGAATTATGATTAAAATGGGTGGGTTTCACTGGAGACTAGTAGACCAACAAACAGGTTATTATACTAATCTGGGTAATGAAGGCCACAGCTATGAGGGTCACAGTGGCATATGTGCCCGTTTCCTTTTTTTTTTGTAAGGAATTCTCCCCAATGAGGAAGTCTATCCAGGCAACAGAAGTTGGGAGGGAAGTAGCCAGTACTTGCAGTATATCTCTCTTCAATAAATATGGGATCAATATATCTTTAAGTAAATATTAAAAGAATACAATAAATTGTGGAACAGTTACTGCATATATCTGTTGTCCCTGAAACTGAACTGAAGGTAGAGAACTTAAAAAAATTTAAAAAAAGGTTTTCATGCTGTCTTAGAATGGTGCTTAGTTCTTACTGAAAAGGTGAATTTTCTAGTTAAAGAATGGTGGCTGCTCTGTAGGAATAATCAAATAAGTTAATTCCTCAACAGAATCAAAATTGAAACCTTATAATTAAAAAATTGATTATGATTTAAACAGTAGTAAAATTGTATTTCTACTGATTTTGAAAGTGATACCTGTGTGTGATAGAACATCTAGAAGATAATGGAAAATTTACAACAAAAATAAAAATTACCTCAAGTCTCAGTGCAAACAAAAACAATAGAATAAAAAACACTGTTTTCTTTAAATGACAGGTTGGGTACCAGTGGAGAAAAACAACAAACAGTATTGCTGGCATTCCTCTGTAGTTAATTATGAATTTGAACTTGCCCTGGTGCTGAAGCATCATTCTGATGATCCTGGTCTTTTGGAAATTAGTGCAGTGCCACTATCGGATCTCTTAGAACAGACACTGGAGCTTATAGGAACAAATATTAATGGAAACCCATATGGTGAGTAAAGCCATTTTTCTCTTTAGTTACAGTAACTCATTTATAACAGGAACTTCCTAGGTTCTCTCTCTGTTAAAGAAATGACGAATACATTTGAGTTAAGTAGCCTAGGATTATAGCCATTTCTATTAATTTTATGCCCATGGAGAAATTTAACCATTTTATTTATCCAGAAGGTTGATTTTAGCCTCTCGTTCTTTGCTATAATAACATTATAGAGCTATGTATGAAAGGCAATTACTCAAGTGTAACTTCATTGCTTTTTAAAATTTAGGTGAACTGAGCTGAATGAAAATCACGATGTGCTTTTCATGGCTGGGTAATTAGTTTAGAATTAATAACTAAACATTAAGAATTGGCAGTGAATAGCATATGAAGTTATGAAGAATTGAGTACAAATCCTGAGGGCACTTTGGAGTCCATTGTTGACAGGGGGATGAAGACAGATCCAAACACATTGAAGCTTGGAATTCTATACAGGAATGCCACAGAAAAAAAGCTAAGATAGTAATTATACAACTTACCAGATACTGCATGGTTGTTTGGCAGACATTGAATTATAGTTGAATGTGGCTAATGGTGTAGGAGGGGTTGGCGGACTTTTCCTGTAAAAGGCCAGAGAGGAAATACTTAGGTTTTGTGGGCCATACCTCTGAAACAGGCCCATAGGTAATACTTAAATGAATGGGTGTGGCTGTGTTCCATTGGAACCATCTGGCTGGATTTCACCCACAGGGCATAGTTTTAAACCCTGGTACAGAATACTGGAATGTAGAATTTAGACTGTAATGGGATACGGTGCCATTTTTGAGTGAGAGTACTTGTAGTATTTCTCTCTTCAAGGAAACCAGCCAAACTTTTTGGTAAATTTATTCTTACATAATTTGAAAGGCTTTTTAGCTGGAGAGGTGAATTTTCTCATTCTTTTTGAAACCTTTGTATGGCTAATGGCAAGATTTTACCATTTAGGGTTAGGAAGCAAGAAGCATCCATTACATCTTCTTATACCACATGGAGCATTTCAAATAAGAAATCTACCTACCTTGAAGCACAGTGATCTGTTGTCCTGGTTTGAAGGCTGCAGAGAGGGTAAAATCGAAGGAATAGTATGGCACTGCAATGATGGCTGTTTAGTCAAGGTAATGGCAGAAAATAGCTTGTGGAATTATGTTGTCTTATGTTCCTAAGACAAAGAAATGGCACTAAATACTTTCTACACATTGCAGTAATTCTGATGCTGCAGTGAAGAAATTTAATTTCCTCATCGCATGTGCCACTATTCTTTATGTGATGAAGTAGTGCCTCCCAATGTGTATTTGTTCTGTGGGGCATCGATTCTTCTATATGTGCTTCAAAACGGAAGTGATGAAAGTGTCTGGAAACCCTGCGTACTGCATATTCCCTTCTCGGAAATTCACGTTGCACTTTAGTGCTCTCTGAGACATCTTGCACTAACTCAGTTTAATTCAGCATTTCCCAGACTTACTTGGTTATAGCATTTGTTAAGAGCGCCAAGGGTCAGAGTATAAAGAATGAATTATTTTATACCTTGTGCCCTTTCTGTCTGTCTCCTGGACTTGTCTCTGATTTCTCACAGGTTCCTGAAATTTGTCACGTTCAAAACTAGATCTAGTCACATCAACCCCGTGACTTCCAACAATTAATTCACTGAAGCCAAAAACTTAGATATCATTTTAACCTCACTCTCCATTACTTCATACATCCAATTATCAGTTCTTAAAGATTCTGATCTATTGAATCTATATTTCTGCCAAACCAATTAGCAGTTAATTTTAATTTAGGCCAAGATTCATGCTGGAATTATTATTTGATCCTGTTAAACGTTAACTACCAGTCTTATCCCTGTACCGTCCATTCTTCATGAATGAATGAGAATGTTACTTCCCTGCATAAAACTGTTTAATAACACTAAGATTTTTCATGAGCTGGCCCCTAGAATTTTGTGGAACTGCCTCTACCCTGTGTCTCCTAAACACCCACATTGTATATGTTCTAACCATACTTAACTAATTGCAGAGAAAAAACACCATTCTGTCACATGACATCCCTTTAGTTAGAATGCCTCCCCACCCACATTTTTTAATTGGCTAGCTTCTGTACTCAGCAACAGACTCTATTATTCATTAAATTTTTATGGAGTCCCTGATTACGTTCCTGGCGTGTTTCCAGGTGCTGGAAATACAGAGTCAACAAAACAATGTCTCTGCCTTCATGAAGCTCACATTCTAATGGGGAAGATAGACAATAAAAAAGTAAATATGTAATATGTCAGGAGGAAAACAGCTATGAAAAAAAAAAAAAGGGTAAGATAAAGTGGACCCTTAAATAGTGTCTGGCAGATGGTAGGCACTCAAGTATGTGCAAGTAAATGAAGATAATACAAGTGAAAGCTGATACCCTTCTTTTCTCTTTTCAGGTCCATCGCCATCATCTTGGTTTATGCTGGCCAATTCCAGATACTTACATGAATTCAAAACCAGTGATTATCAACATGAACCTGTACAAATATGACTATGCTTTTGATACTAAGTGTCTGTTTAATCATTTTTCAAAAATAGATAATCAGAAATTTGGTAGGCTCAAAGATATAATACTTGATGTATAAACTGGAAATGCAATTAAAAACCAGCTTTATTATTATATTTGAACCTTGCATATTCTGCCATGTTTAAAGGGTTCCTATTGTTGAATTTCCCAGTTGCAAATATCTATTCAAACTCTTACTTAGAATCAGCAAATGAACTTAAAAATGTTAAGTAATGGTAAGCTCCTCAGCTTGTACAAAGGTTGGATTCTGTCCACTATAACTGAGTGGTAATTTAAAGGCAACAAACTAACAATTTTGGATAGTTTGCTTTCAAAATTAAATAGTCTAAGTTGAATTTAATGTAATCTGGCAGACATTTAACAAAACATGGCTCAACCTCATATTTGTAGACATTACAAGAGTATATAAAATTATATATAAAATTTGAAAACTGTAACACATATATATATATAGCTAAGTGTATATAAAACCCCAATTTTAAATGTTAAAATTGTTAAAAGTTTACCCTTATACTGTTTATAACTTAAAACATTATGAATGTACAGAAATTCACTGGCGATGATTGCCTATTTGATAGTCATAACTTATTCTAAAAATCTTCAAAAATATACTTTTCTAATACATTAAAATTTTCATATAATTTTATTTACTAAAAATTCCAATTTAGGTAAAGGCACAAGGTATTGGGAAGGAAATCATGTAGGTCAGAGACTTGCTTGATTTCCAGATACAATTTTAAAGCTATAAAGTTAATAAATAGTTAAATAACTTAAAACTAGAGTTATAACTGGCCCTTAATTGGGGAAATTAACAGGACTTCCCTCTTCATCTTCAGACTGTTCAGAAGCAGCAACAGGACTAGTTAATTCAAGTCCAAATTGTTCAGAAAGTTTTTTTAACTTTTCTTCTAAAAGAATATTTTTTTTCACTTCTTCTTTGTAATTATACTTCAGATCTTCAATTTCTTCAAAAAAGGAAGGATCAAAATTTTCCAGTTCTTTCTTCAGCTTTTTTATTTCCTCCTAATAGAAACATATTGTCCTTAAAAGGCATATCTAGGTATATAATGCACTCATTAGGTTTGAACTAAAGAGATTTAATTGCAAATGAAAGCCAAAGTAACCTGAATAGTCAAATACACTTATAAAGGCAGAGGTATTTTCTTAAGAGTTTGCTAATGAGGTTTCATTGTACAGTATTAGTAACTTGTTAACTCTCAAATCAAATTATTTTTTGTACGTTATGTCCTAGACTTTGACTAAAATTTTTTAACTCTTAGATTGAGGGGATTTAATCTTTCTCCAAAAGCATACTCTCAGATACTCTCAGTGAGGCAACCAAAAAGACTTTTCTATTCACAACATGGAAGTTGTTTTGGTTAAGATTCTTTGGCTTAGACCTCACTTATGTTTTCTTTACAAATATCTAATTTTTAATGAATAATCAACTTCTTATAAATATACCGAGGGTGCCAAAACAATGTATACAAGTGGACACTTTGGTCAATTTGCTCAAGCAGTAGTTTGCCATCATCAGAAGTGTCTGGACGCTGATGGTAACTACTTTGAACACCTCTTGTGATTGCAGAAGTCAAACGTGACTATTCATCTTTTGTTACTGGCATATATTGAATATTACAATACAGTTTTCCTTTCTGAGAATAAGTATACATTTTTTTGGCACCCTCTGTATTTATGATCAGGGAAACGCTAGGGCTTCGGCCTGGCTAAGGGTTACACATCTGGTGAAGAGACCGCGCTTTAACAACCATTTAGAAGAGCCAGTGATTATAGTTAACGCCCATATGAAGCTCTTTTGTTCCGTTTACATATTTCTTACACAGATAAAGCATAGCAAGTAGTTTTCTTTAAGGGAAGGGAACTATGCCTGAAAAGAATTTCAAAAATAAAAGACACTTTCGCAATGTGACCCCAAAATTAAGAAAATATTAAAATAATGAGCTATATTTGTGACAATTAAAAAATTTTCTCTTTAATCCGATTTGTTTTATCTCAAGTTTTTTGGTAGCTCTTGTTTAATATTTTTGACAGCTGAATATAATGAACTTTGCAATATCAAGGTCAAACATAAACTGTAATCCCAGGAATTTTTAGGATACATACTTAAAGCTCATAGATGGCAATCATAAAAATAATTTTCAACAGCTGTTTTCACAAAACATTAATAATACTATAATTAGATATAATAAATATTTACTTACCTCCATATGCTGCTTTTCTAGATCTGAGGTTTTGAGCTGTGTCTCTAGATGTTTTACCTTTTCCTTTAGTTGATCAGGATCTGCGAAAAAAATAAAACAGACTCAGCTTTTTCCATTCTGAATAAGTTCAAGACAAATGATTTGTTTTAGAAAATAAGGAGAAAACGTATGAAACTAGAGCCTGGAAAATGGCAATTTACGGCTGAAACACTTCAGGCTGTGAATACTATATACTACTTCTGTGTTACAAGTATAGAGTGAGGTCAAGTTTTACATGGAAGAGACTGATAGGTTCCAAAGAAAAATTCAAGAGCCAGGAAAATTTAAGTACTAAAAGTACAACAGAAGAATAAATAGACTGTTAGGTAAGGGGCCCAGCAGCACTGCCTAGAGATTCCATGTGGGTCAATATGCAGTTATTGTGTGATTAATACGTGAAAAGCATGCTAAGCAGGATGGGTAACACAAAGATGAGTAAGTCCTGATGCTCTGGTAGAATACATAAGAACAAACAGCACAAGGGCTTTGGTTTAATTTACGGATTCTCTCCCCAGAGTTAACATCTCTAATTTTATCATGAGAATCAAAGGGCAAATAGTAGTTTTACTTTTAATTGCTAGTCTGCTATTTTCTTCACATTAACCACTACATATGTGTCATGTCATATTTTGCAGCCATTGAAGGGTAAAATTTTAAAAGTAATCCTAAAGTTTGAGAAAATAATGGACAGAAAACACATTTTCATGAATGGTACAGGAAGTATATTCTGTTAAGGTGCCCTTGAAATGGTTTTCTAATTGTAAGTTGGAAACAGGAAATATTTTCCTCATCCTTTCTAATGGGAATAGAGTCAGCAGGGCCTATCTTGTTTGGGAAGGCAGAGCAGCATCGTCCTTTTCAAAGCTGTTCTCACACCTTCACAGAAAGTGCTAATAGTCTTTCACAGAGTTGATTGTTAATCACTTGGATGCTATACTGAGTTGTCTTTTTATTAAATTTATTGGGGTGACATTTGTTAGTAAAATTACATAAGTTTCAAGTGTACAATTCTGTAATACATCATCTACATATTGCATTGTGTGCTCACCACCCAGAGTCAGTTCACTTTCCATCTCCATATATTTGAGCCCCTTGTGGGATTCTATATACTACACCGATTGGTATTGTATAGCACTTTCCAAAAATTAGCTTAATGACCACTTATATTTAAATAGTGCTTTAGAATTTCCAACAGTTATGGTTTGATTTTGAGCCTTAACAATCTTTGAAATATGTTAGGTGTCCTTATCTCTTGGAGATAAGGAAGATGAAAGTTCAGAGATTCCCTCTTAGGAAAGTGAGGATTAGAGAGAGAGAACTTGCCTCATGTGAACAGCATTCACAGCTCTTTGGTCCTGCATACCGAGTTGGCTGCTATGAGAGATGCTGTCAAGACAGACTACTTTTAGTCACCGAGAGGCAATGCCATGGTCAATAGCAAAGAATGGAGAAGAGCTTCGGAGTTGCCTAGATTTCGGTTTCATCCTGTCTCTGCCACTTCCTACCTGGTGTGACCTTGGGGACAGATTACTTAACCTCTTTGAATCTGCTTGGCACAGGTAAAATGGAGACACCAGCACCCACTATTCAGGGCTACAAGAATTAAAATGCACTTAGCAGAGTGTCTGGTACAAGTCATACATGACAGCTGTAATACAAAGTAGCAAAAGGACTCAGTGGTAGGATATTGAAAAAGCTATATGAAACAGTCCAAGATTGTTCAGATATAAATTGGCATAATGCTTTGGCACAGAATTTGGCTATTTCCATGAAGCTATCAGACAAATATACAGTACAAACAATGGTTTCTCATTATTTATAGTAGTTGTGGTCTATAGAGTCAACAGGAACAATGAATTAGTGCATATTAAACCACTGCTCTTAGGGAAAATAATACACACATATATTAATAGATAGACATATAATCTATACCTAATATCTCTCTCTATATATATACACACACACAGACATAAACATACTCATGTATCTCAGATTATAATCTTATCCTGGAAACAACTCATCCTGGTAGATTCTAAATAGTTTTATAAAAAGAAAACAAGGTTTGGAAGTGTCAAGTGACTCTCCTGAGGCTGCCCCACTAACAAATAAGTGTCAGAGTTGGGATTTACACGCAGTCAAACTCACCCCAGAACCAGAGCTTCTTGCCCTGAATAGCACTGCCTCCCCACCCTCACCCCATCTCCATCCTCTGGTCATCTCTGTGTGAAAGCTGAAACAAGAAAGCAACAAAGGAACAAGACAAACAAAAACTCAGACACAGACAATAGTTTAGTGGTTACCAGAGGGTAAGGGGGAGGGGGTGGTAGATGAGGGTAAAGGGGATCAAATATGTGGTGATGGAAGGAGAACTGACTGGGTGGTGAACACACAATGTGATATATAGATGATGTGTTACAGAGTTGTACCCCTGAAACCTATGTAATTTTACTAACCATTGTCACCCCAATAAACTTAAAAAAAAAAAAAGAAAAAGGAATGCTGAGTGCCACCTTGCATCTTGTTGGATCTCACCTGGGAAAGTGTGGGTCAAATTTTTCACTGGTCTGTATTTTCGTAAAAGTGCCACGAGTACTGATTATGGGGATACAAGTAAATTTTAGTGAGTAAGTGAATTCACAAATACAGAACCTACAAATAATGAGGATCAACTATTCACTGTGTGAACATGTGCACATACAGTATGTACATATGTATATATGCATACATAAGCACATAGGAATAGGGAAATGATTAGTATCACTTCTGAATGTGAATGGAAGCGGGAAGAAGGATAGAGTTACTTTGTAAAAGAAAAAATAAAGAATATAGGCAAT